TGCCTATCACTGGTGATGGTAACTGCTTTTTCAGGTCTGTGGCTTTTGCTATAACTGGAAGTGAGAGAGAACACAGGAAAATCAGGTGCGCTGTTGTTGCCCACATACTAAGAGATGAATCCAGGTATGCCGCTTGTCTGAGAGAAGGTCACTCTTCCGTCACTCAGTATGTTGCCGCATCACGGATGAAGTACGTTGGTACTTGGGCATCTGAGGTAGAGATTCAAGCTGCCGCCAATCTGCTTGGTGTGCATATTTTCACATACTCTCATGACAGATGGTTAAAGTACTCCACGTGTCTTGGTTGTGATAGTGATCAGATGGGCATATACCTGAAACATTGTAATGAGTCACATTATGAGGCTGTAACTTGTGTGAAAAGGCATGATGCTGATGGTTGTGCTGCGACCTGCTCTCAGATTGCCACTTCTGATGTGCCTTCATCGTGTCGTCGGAGACTGGAACGACAGAAAAGACGGTATGAAGTAAGTAAGGTGTACAAGGAGGAACAACTTGAGAGAAGCACAAAGCGCTACCGTGAGAATGAAGTGTACAGAGATCATGTGAAGCAGTTGAGCATCTGTAAGTATGCCACAGACGCTGATCATAGGCAATATGTGAGACAGTCGAGTGTCAATAAATATGCCACAGACGTTGAACACAGGGAACGTGTCAAGCAGTCGGGTGTGAATAAATATGCCGTAGACATTGAATACAGGGAACGTCTCAAGCAGTCGAGTGTGAATAAATATGCCGTGGACATTGAACACAGGGAATGTGTCAAGCAATCGAGTATTGATAGATACAAAACAAACAGCCAGCTTGCTACTGCAGTAAAAAGCAGAAATATTGAAAAACGGGTGAAAGAGAAGAATAAAAGAAAGGATATTCAGTATGTGATTGAACAGTTTAGAGAGAAAATTAATACAGGACCTGTGTACATTTGTTCAGTGTGTCATCGAATGCTGTTTAAACATCAAGTTGTCATATGCAGGAAAGACGAATACTTGAGAAAATCAGAAGGGGTTGCTTTAGTGGCATCGCGGTGTATCACAGATACATACATGCATAAATGTGTAGATGCCTGTTCTGAAAACTGTAGTGATCTGAGGGGCCCTGCAGGTTCATTGTGGATTTGCTACACATGTCACAGAAAGATTCTTGATGGGAGAATTCCAGCTGAGAGTGTCACAAACAATCTAGCCTTACAGCCAGTCCCTGCTGAGTTGCAATGTTTAAATTCACTAGAACAGCATCTGATTGGTATGCATATTCCTTTCATGAGGATTGTGTCTTTGCCAAAAGGTGGACAAAATGGTGTTCATGGTCCGGTGACTTGCGTCCCATCTAGCATTCCAAATGTAGCCCAAGCTTTACCGAGAGTGAAAAACGATGACCTTATGATACGCGTGAAGCTGAAGAGGAAGTTAACTTACAAAGGACACT